GCACTGAGCAGACAAGGGGAATGAAGGGAGGGGACGGGAACTGAAGGGCAGTAGGACGGATGGACATCACTCTCCTGTGTTCATATATGATACACGACCAGTGAAACTCCACATCGTGTTCAACCACAAGAATGGGGTCCTACTAGAGTTAAGTCATACTCCGTGTACGTACAAACACGTCAAAACACACTCTACTGTCACCTTTATGTAAAAAGAATAAAAGAGATTAAAAAAAGACGTTGACCAAAATAAGCTACGTACCTGTGTAAATATATCAAAATGAATTCTACTTTGATGTAAAACTACAATGCACCAACTAAAACAACGGTGATAAATACAAGGAAGATGTCTTAGTTTTTTTTTTTTTTTTTTGGTGGTGCTGGAGATTGAACCCAGGGCCTTGTGCATGCAAGGCAAGCACTCTATCAACTGAGCCACATCCCCAGTTCCCTTAGTCAGTTTTTCATCACTGTGACGAAAAGACCCAACAAGAACAACAAAGAAAAGTTTGTTTGACTCAAAGTTTCAGAGGTCTCAGTTCACAGATGGCCAACTTCACTGCTCTGGCCCTGAGGCGAGGTGGAACCCCGGGAGGAAGTGTGTGCGGAGGAAGGCAGCTCAGGAAGGACAATCAAGAAGCAGAAAGAGCTCTGCTCACCAGGAACAAATGCACACTCTAAGGCACACTCCCAGTGACCTACCTCCTCAAGCCACATCCTACCTGCCTACACTTACCACCCAGTTAATCCATTCAGAATTAATGCACTGATCAGCTTAATCCTCTTATAACCCAATTGTTTCACCCGTAAACTTTCTTGGACTGTCTCACACATAAATTTTGGGGGTAAACCTCATATCTAAACAACAGAAGACTAGTAGAGTGGAGGAAAAAGAAGATAGAGGAAGGGATTAGGAGAGGGAAAGGGGAAGTACTGCAGCCTGAAATGGAGCAAATTAGTTAAACGCATTTGTTTTATGTCAAAATGAATCCCTCTATTACACAGAACTATAATACATTAGCAAAAACATTTTAAAATACTGTAAAATGGCAAATTATTGAAAGCAATCCACAAATTCAATGCAAATACCACCAAAACTTCAATATCATATTTCACAAATCTGGAAAAAACAATCTAAAAATTCATACAGAAGCATAAAAGGCCCAGAACAGCCAAAGTAATCCTGAGCAAAAAGAGTAATACTGGAGACATCACTATACCTGATCCCATACACTACAGAGCCATTAATAACAAAAGTAGCATGGTGTTGGCATAAAAACAGACACCAAGACCCATGGAATAAATCAGGAGAGAGATAAATCCACCAATATAGTCACCAGATTCTTGACAAAGTTGCCAATACAGGTGTTGGAGAAAAGACAGCCTCTTTAACAAATGGTGCAGGGAAAAGTGGATACCCACATGTAGAAGAATGAAACAAGATCCCTATCTCTTATCCTGCACAAAACTTGATTTGAAATGGATCAAGGAACTAAGTGTAAGACCAGAAAATTTTTAACTCTTGGAAGGAAATGGAGGAAGCCCTTCAACAGACTCAGGCAATGACTTTCTGAATGGCTCATGAAATAATTGACAAATGGGGATGCATCAAATCAAAAAGCTTTTGCACAGCAAAGGAAACAACAGGCTTACGACAGCGTACAGAGGGGGAGAAAGCCCTTTGTCAGCTATCTTCTGAGGAAGGAAAATATTTGGAAAACATATGAAGAACTCAAAAAATTCAATACCAAAAGAAACAAATAACACATTCAATAAATGGGCAAATGAATAGAAACTTCTCAAAAGAAGTACAAATGGGCAAAAATTGTATATAAAAAAAAAATTTCATCTTTAGCCATTAGGGAAATGCAAATCAGAACTACAGTGAGGCTGGACTATAGCTCAGTGGCAGAGCGCTTGCCTAGCATGTGGCAGGCACTGGGTTCAATCCTCAGCACCATATAAAAATCAACAAATAAAATAAAGATGGTTTGTCCCTACACAACTACAAAAAATATTAAAAAAAAAAAACCTACATCAAGATTCTACCTCACCCCAGTCAGAATGGCAGCCAACAAAAATACAAAAAACAATAAATGCTGGTGAGGACGCAGGGAAGAGGAACTCTAACACACTGTCGCTGGAAAGCTAAATTAGCCCAGCCACTTTGGAAATCAGTAGAGACGTTCCTCAAAAAGCTAAAAACAGGACTAACGTGCTGTGGAGATACCTGCACACTTGTATTTATTGAGGCACAATCCACAATAGCCAAGTTATGGAATCAGCCTAGATGTCTGCAGACAGATGAATGGATAAAGACAATGGTATATATAACAATCGAGTTTTATTCAGCCATAAAGAAGAACAGAATTAGGATATCATTTACAGGAAATAGATGGAACTGGAGAATGTGAAGTGAGATGAACCAGACTCAGAAAGACAATTCCCATGTTTTCTCCCATACATGGAAGCCAGAGGGGAAAAGGACATCATGAATTTGAAGGGAGACCATTAGAGCAGAGAAGGGGTCAGGGAAGGGAGGGCAGGCAAGGAGGTTCTGGGGAGTGACCCTGATCAAAAGATGTGCATGTGCAAATGTGCCATAAGGAAACCCACCTTCTGCATGACCAACACACACCAGTGAAAGGGGAAGGAAAGGAAAGGAAAGGAATGTTGAAAGAATCCTGGATCAAGAGTCACTGCCTGGATCTGTTGACACTCGGAGAGCCATACCATTCCATCCAGACGTGCAGACAGGATTCAACAGGATGAGCATCAGGACCGGACCCACACTCCAGGACCTGGTGTTACAGAACGTACTGTGCAATGAGGCCTTGCCCATCCCCAATCTGGAGTACCTGCCCAGGGTGCTCACCCTGCAGTTGTACAAGGAGGCTATAATAGGGGGTCACATGGAGACGCTAAAGAAGATGGTGCTGTCCTGCCCCTTGGCCTGTTTGCCTGTGGAGTACCTGCTGAAGACAAGTGATGTGAAGGCCTTAAAAACCCTACTGAATGGACTAAACTTGCTGATTTCCCAAAATGTTCACCCCAGGAAATGGAATGAAAGCAATTGATTTTCGGGAAGTGAATCAGGACTGCTCCAATGAGTGGTCCAGAGCCCCACTGGGCGCCTGCTCACAAGAGGCCACGTCTCCAAAGGAAAGGGAGAAATGGGCCAAAGAGCAGCGAAGCCACACTTGGAGATCTTCATAGGTGCCGATCTGGACAAAGTCTTCCAAAGATTCCTTGGCAGCCTCAGGGAGTGGGTGGAGGAGAGAAAGGGGGTGGTGCTTATATACTGCGAGAAGCTGCAGATCGGGGGTTTCTACTTGAAACTCTCTAAATTCCTGAGGACTCTGCCATTGTACTACGTGCAGGAACTGGAGGTGAATGCTCAGCACTGGACTCGAGAAATAATAGAACATCTTTGTTTTTGCCTGATCAAGATGAGGAACCTTCCCGTCCTCCATCTCTCCAACTTGTGCCCGCAAGTCTTCACCAGCCACTCGGTAAACAGGTGGTTGTCCCTAGAATCAGCCTTCAACTGCGGAAGGTGAAAAACCTCCGTGAGCTCTACGTGAACAACGTCTTCTTCCTCTACAGAGCGCTGCACAAAATCCTCCTGTAAGCACGAAGGGAGTCAGACTCCCTTGAAAACACTCTCGCTGAGAGGTTGTCCGCTCAAGGAGAAGGATTTAAAGCATCTGTCCATGTGTCCAAGCACTGGTCAACTGAAGTGTCTGGATCTCCGCTCTTTTTCCATAAAAGATATGAGTGCTGAGCCCCTCCAGGTCCTGCTGGAGAAGGTGGCACACACCCTTGAGACCCTGGTCTTAGAGTTTTGTGAGGTAACAGAGTCCCAGCTAAATGCCATCTCACCAGCTCTGGGTCACTGTTCCCAGCTCAGAACCTTCAGTTTCTGTGGAAACCAAATCCCCCTGATTGCTCTTAAGAACCTGCTGAGGCACACCGCTAGCCTGCCAACAAGTGAAGTACCCTGCCCCTCTAGAGAGCTTTGACAAAATCCTCTGGGGTTTTTGGACTGAGATCAATCACATGAAATTTGACCAGGTTCGGAAGGAGTTGATGCAGCTGGTGAAGGACATCAGGCCTGTCCACGACATCCAGATTTATTCTTACGACTGTGTTCTTCACCTCAAACATACAGATTCTATTGCCTGAAACCCAGTGGCAATTTGGTAGGCAGGGGATTATTGACATGCACAACACATTAGCTTTCTTGGGTTGGGGTAAGGCTCAAGTAGAGTGATCTCCAGAACCTCAAGATATGCTTCTTATAAATTTCTAATGGAGTTCATGTGTGCATATGGCCTCAAGTTTGAGTCCAGTCTTGACAACTCAGGAAGACCATCTCAAAATAAGGGCTGGGGATGTAGTTCTGGTCAAATGCCCTGGCTTCAATCGCCAGTACCCCTGAAATATGGGTTAGGGTAGGCCTTCAGGAAGATAGGTATAAGGGCCTTCATTTTACTATGTTACTTGGTCTTTGGCTCTATTATTCCATAATTAAAATGTATTAAATTTTCACTGCTAAAAAAAAAAAGGAAAGGAATGCCAAGCTCAAAGCTTTGTTTCTACAGGTCCCTCACACAGGTGCCTGCATGCACACTGATGCTCAGTTCACATCCTCCTTAGGAACCTTCCGAGTCAAGCACAGTCATAATCCATGTGCCACCAAGGATAGCTTGGATGAGTGATGCTCCACTGACAAAGCAGAACACCAGACAGGTGACAAAAAATACTTTAGAACAAAGATAGCAAAGCACGTTTTATGAAAAATGCCAGTTACAAACATAACACACCTTCCTATGACCCACTCTGGGTGCCCACAGAAAGCATGTGGATGCCAATGGCTGGCTGTGCTTCTAATAATAACAATAAAAAGATTATTAATAATTAATTACACTTGAAAAATAAACTACATTCTTTCATTCCTGCGTGACAGTGACTCTAACTACTTTCTTCCCTGTGCATTACCTTAAAAGCTGACAGTTCCTCTTCACCAGCAAATCTGAGCACAAGTACTGTGGAAAAGGCAAGTAACTGACTTGCTGCTTCTCTTGGAAACTCAAGTAAGTCGATCTCCCCATGGCTCAAATGATCTCGCAGACGGGGGCCCTCCTGATGGTTCAGGAAATCCCAGAGAAATTCCTTACAAAATATAAAGAGGAAACATTCTGTTAGCATTCCAGGCAGAAGGGGAAGCAAGTGCAAGGTGCAGACACAGGCCGCGCCTACACGTGTGAAAAGGATAGGAAAAGTGGGCCTCCAGGACTGTGCTCATCAAGCTGTATGGCTGGATTGTCATGGGAGGGCCCTACTGTCCAGGCACCAAGCAGGATGCACAGACAAGAGTGTCTGAGAGGACCTGAGAACTAAGCACCAAGGGGCGATGGAACTCTACCTTTGTTACCCTCACCCTTCTTCAGGGAAGGGAACTGGACTATCAGCATTTGGAAACAAACTTTTAAACACAAGAAAGCTCGGCTCTCATGTGCACAAGCACAGCTCTCTAGTGCCTCCTCATTCCTCTCTCTCCCTTGGGCTCCTCTGTTGACCAATCTTCCATCTTTGAGCTGATACAGACAGCTGTTTCCTACTGTAGCAGCACAGGCCCAAGGCTTCACACTCAGATTATAAGGAAAGGGGTCCTGGGCAAGCTGCCGATGGAGTCCCAGAGACTCAGAATGGAACTGAGTACCAGATATGCTAGGGAAATTGTCGGAAAGTAGGAATGGATGAAGAGCATCATGAACCCAGAAACTGGAATCTAGATCTGCTAACTCTCAGGTGGAAAGAATACATATCTACTTAAAGCCTGAAACAGTCATTACAGTATCTCTTCTTCTTCTTTTTTTTTTTTTTAAAAGAGAGAGAGAGAGAACTTTTTAATATTTATTTTTTAGTTTTCGGCGGACACAACATCTTTGTTTGTAGGTGGTGCTGAGGATAGAACCTGGGCCGCATGCATGCCAGGCTTGAGCCACATCCCCAGACCCTACAGTATCTTCTTAAAGTACAAAACAGTGAAAGGAGAAAACAACTCTAAAACATTAATGGTTCTCTTCTTCACCCCATGATCAATCCTTTTAATCTACTGTTATATTTTACACATATATTTTACTTTCTCTACAGCACAAATACATATAACTACCAAATGCAAATACTGCTTTGGGACATGGCAGCTAAGTTAGCAGGCCTTCAAAAGGACAAGAATAACCAGGCTACAGAACACAGCCCAGGATGGAGACACGGCTCAGCCAGGTCTGGGACAAGTCAAGGCTGGGCTCAGTGCGGCTCAGATCTGTTCTAGAGTACACCATAGCAAAATGACTTAATCCTAGACTAGAGAAATGGAAAATGTTCATAAGCAGAAGTCACTAGGCTGGAAACTGTCAAATACTTACCATAGCAGGTTCTCCAAGGAAAAGAGGAAGTTGATTTATTCTGCCATCATTCATGTGTTTTGCCAATATCTAAAACACCAAAAATAAACTGTTAAACTGAACCACCCACACATATAGGCACGGTCTCATTCATACACCCACACATACAATTAAAATATCAGTATTCCTAAAGTAATTATGTTGGTTAAGAACAATTTTCCTAAACAGTGGCTGCTATGTTTTTAAAACTGCCCTTATTCACTTAATTTGTTTGAAACTAATATAGCATGTTAAATACTGGTACATTCTTTGACTGCAAGTTCTGTGTGTTTGTGCATGCCTGCACACCCATTGGTCACTTCCTAAATCACTCTTCACTCACCATGGACTTTGAAATCCAACGACCCTGACCCAGAACTATGGACCTGACCTTATGCAGCTTTGACTTTACCATCCAACTTTACCATCTAACCCTCTTTATCAAATGCATCACATATTGAAGTTCATAGCAAATTGCTCACCAATGGGACGCACCTGAGGTGAGCAGCCATTTTCTAACTTCCACTGCACACTTAGGAACCCAGTGGTCATGTCTCAGGCCAAATGACCTGCAGGTGCACAGCTCTGCCTGTGGCTTTCCCTTGGCTTTCCCAACCACCTTATCTGTGCCACATTCCAGGGGCACAAGAATCACCACCAGGGCTCGCACATAGAAAGTGTCAATACTTACGGGCCACACAAGATACTTTTAATTGTGATTCTTACCATTCTAGATTTTTGCTCTAGAATCACATCCCTCAATGCACAGATTAAATGCATCAGCACACAATATAAACACATAGTAGTAGATGAGGTATGTTCCACATGCAAAAATTCAAAGCTAACCTGAAATCTAAAATGCAAGCCTCCCAGGTACTGGGCACGGAGGCACATACCTGTGATCATGTCAACTCAAGAGGCTGAGGCAGGAGGATTGCAAGTTTGAGGCCTGCCCAGGCAACTCAGTGAGACCCTGTCTCAAAATACAAAGGGCTAGAGATATAGCTCAGTGGTAGAGTTCCCTGGGTTCCTTCCACCCCGCCACACACACACACACACACACACACACACACACACACACACACACAMAAAGTAAGCCTCTAAATAAGTGCAGCCAATAATATCAATATCCCTTGGCATTTTCAAACTTTGAATTCTGGTAACTTTAGAAAGTGGATTAGTAATTCTGGGTCTCAACATCAGCCTGAAAGTTAATTTAAATCTAGCACAGATTTTTATGCTTTTATTACTATGAACATTTTTCTATAAACATGTGATCTGGGGCTAATCTCTATGTTTGTATCTTAATTTGAATTTTAAAATAAGAGAATGTTTTGTTCCAAAACACCACATAAATCTAGCTACTTACTTCATCAAAGGTAGTATAAAGAGTCGTTGACTGCAGAAAAGGGAAAAAATGGAGAGAAATGATTAAAGCAAAATATAATAAAGTAACATTATTCAAAGTAGAAAAGGTTATGGTCATGCCACAAAACTGAAATCTGGTGAAAATGACCTTCATCTAGAATACTTATAGGCAAACAATTATGTTATTTAAAAAAATGAAATTCACCGAATCTGACAACTTGGATATGTTAGAATCCTGCCTTTACAAGTATGTTAGCTCTGTTAATTCCCAGGTCGGGGACCCCAGACCTTACCAAATCACTGTCCACACCAACAAAGGACTCCTGCTGATGACTGGTATCAGCACATGCAAGAACAGTCTGGCACTTTCTCTAGCACATGGCCTGAGTGGCATGATGGGGACAGCAGTGTGGCACAAACCCCAAGGCAGGCTCCCCAGATATCTGAGCCCAAGCTCAACACCACCCCACCAACTTACTTCACCCCGTAGACATGTGTTTTCTCTACAAAATGGTCAGTATCTCCCCACAGTGTGACGAAGCCAGCACTCTGTCTAGGCCAGCTCTCAGAAATGCCGCCCGCCCTGCTTGTTGCTCAGTGACCTGCTTTCCATGGGACACAGGCTGCGTTTCTCTTGACCCACTCAGGGGTTAGGGTATCTGTATGGGCACCATGTGGTATCATGGGGATGGCACCAGGTCGAGCTCATGCAACTCACGTGCACCATTAGAAAGTGACCTCACACAATGGCATCAGTGCACATGTGCTGGCTGCACCCCATCCCGAAGTCAGATGTGGGCTTCTCTACTAGTGACATCGTGTCAACACTCAGAAAGTTCTCACTTTGGCTACTTTGGGGTTTTGAACTAGGGCTATTCAACATGTACTATCAATGTTCTTCAACATTTTTGAGTATGTAAATGGCTCTAAAATTTGTAAGTTTTAGCTCTCAAACCTGTATTGTTGGCCTAAAATTTTTCCTGAGTTATACTCTAAATATCCTCTTGCCCACTAAATATTTCTACAAAGGATCTCATTTATTGCCAGAAATTACGTGATAAATTTCTACCTGATTTTATGAAATAAGTATAAACACCTTCTCTGCCTCACTCCTAATGGATAAGCCCTTAGAAGTCAGAAATTCTAGGAAAATTTACATCCACATGCAGAAGAAGCCAGATGTGCATCCCACCAGCTACAAACGCAAAGCAAATTCACAATAAATGAGAGACGTAAATGAAAGACATGAAACTACCAGAAGAAAACAGGAGAATGCTTCAGGACATTGGAATTGGCAAGAATCTTCAAGAACACAGGAAACAAAAGCAAGAATAGATAAAAAATTATTACAACAAACTAAAAAAACTTCTTCATAGCGAAGGAAATTATCAAGAGTGAATAAACAGCCTAAAGAAGGAAGAAAACATCTGCAAGCTGCACACTTGACAAAGGCTGATATCAGGTTATAGACCTAAATAGACATTTCTCAAAAGAAGACACTCAAATGTCCAATGGGTACATAGAAAAAACGCTCATTATCACTAAACCCTGGGGACTCATGATCAAAACCACTGTGAGCCATCACCAGGCTCCAGTKAGAATGGCCACTACCAAGAAGACTGAAGGTGACCGCTGGCGAGGAGGTGGAGGAAAGGGCCCCTGCACTGTTGTGGGAGTGTAAATCAGCACAGCCAGCGTGGAAAACCACACGGAGATTCCCTGAAACCCAACAGTAGAACTAGCACGTGACCCAGCAATCCCACTGCCAGGTACACGTCCAGAGGAGAGGAGTCGTGTGCTGAGGGACACGGCTCTCCCTGGGTCACCGCAGCTCTATTCACAGGAGCCAAGACAGGAGCAGCCCGAGTCCATCAGCTGAGGGTGGACAGAGAAGGGGCGGGGCTTGTGCCCCATGGAGCACGAGTTGGCCATAGGAGGACGATCCTGTCGTGTACAAGAAGATGGACCTGGAGATCACTGTGCCAGGAGAACTAAGCCTGACTCAGAAGGACAGGCACCGTGTGATCTCAGTCCAAGTGTAAGCTGATGAGGTGATCTCTCGGAGCTGAGCGCAGAATGGTGTCTCCAGAAGTGGGGAAAGTTGGGGAGTGGGGGGCAGAGAGGTAGGCCAGGGGGTGCTGAGTCATAGGTAGGAGCAAGAAGTTCCGGTGTGCTACGGTACAGCAGGGTGACCGGATGTAATGAAAATGCACCACACATTTCAAAATGCTACAAGAGCCAGATGCAGTGGTGCACAACTGTAATCTTAGTAGCTGGGGAGGCTAAGGCAGGAGGATCGCAAGTTCAAAGCCAGCTTCAGCAATTTAGCAAGGCCCTAAGCAACTCAGTGAGACCCTGTCTCTAAATAAAATATTAAAAAGGGCTGAGGATGTGGCTCAGTGGTTAAGCACCAAAGGGTTCAGTCCCCAGTACCATAGGAGGTAGRTAGGTTTAACCTGATTTAAATATTACCTAATAGATACATGTTCCAAGCAGCACATGGTACCCTATAATATGCAGAATTTTTATGTTTCCATGTATCAATTTTAAGAATAGGCTAAAAAAAGTCATTTCTGTAGTTTGGATCATGAATGTCCCCCAAAGGTCCATAACTGAAGGCTTGGTCCCCAGCATGGCACACATGAGAGGTGGATGTGCTGCCACAGACCACAAAACAATAAGACCAACCAGCTACAGACTAAAACCACCAACCCCGTGAGCCAAAACAAACCTCGTCTCTGCAAAAGTAGGTTATGTGTCCTTACGATCATGAGAAAGCTGACCAACATAGTCCTGCCTGTATTCCTATCTCCCATGGATCTTGAGGAGACTTACACCACAACAAAAACTCAGTGAACAAACACACTTAATAAGGCTCAGAGAGCAGTTTCACAAACACACCATCCTGTGAACCAATCCTGTTTCTTCCAGATAAAAGCCTGGGCTAAAACCTGAGATGGTCTTTCATGAATTATACCCTCTGTGCAGTCACACTATCTATTTGTGTAGTCCAAAAACATACAGCAAAATTTACTTATTCCACAAAGTCCCTCGATGACTGAGCACACTACAATGTGGCCAATTCCAAGAGAGATCAAGTGAGAGCTGTGAAGCATGCCACAAAGCGAGGGAGCTTCTCTCCCAACCACGTCCTGAGCAGTCTATACCTGAGGCCCTGCGCATGGGCACCAGCGCAGCAATGCAAGGTCCCAGTCTCAAGAGCCATGAAGATGACTCCTAAAACGCATACATGGAAGGCAGAACACAGCAGAAGAGAGGAGACAGAACAGAGCAGAAGAGAGAAGAGCAGCCATCACTTGAGCAGACAAGGCTCCGGAGGTCACTGTGGCCAGAGCACTGGCCTGGAGCCATCAGGCAGGAGCCATGGGCAAAGCCTGAGAAGAGAAAGACACCTTGTTGAACTGAGAAGAGCTGTTATTGTGCCAGGGGATCAGACAGGAAACAAAACTAAAGTGGGTGGTCTCTCCACACACCAAAGGGAAGCATGAACCACCCCCTTGGCAGGCACCAAAGAAAGTGTCCAAGCCGGTGAAAACCACAAATGACCTAAGAATATCTTTCAGAAAATAATTAGTGGAGGTATGTGAATAGAGCAGGGAGGACCATGAAGACTAGCTGGAGATGAGCCCAGAGGACGTGAGAGCAGCTGGGGAGGTCTCAGCCTAACAAGGAGAGGGTAAGGTGGTCAGAAGAGACCAGGAGATAAACTACAGGGAAGGCACAGGCAGTCTGCTGTGTAGTGCCAGAGACTACAACTATGAGGGCGACAACAGGAACATCCAAGAACAGGGAGCGGAGGGGGGCGGGGGGATATGCCTTTCTAAATAAAGCAAACTTAAAAGTCTCTGTGGAGAACAATGTGAAAATATTCAGTGGACAGCACTGAGGAAATGTGCAGACCACGCCTTGGGGGTCCCGAGTGTTTAAGGCAGTAACTCCTGTGACTTGCTTTCACTGTGTACACAAACCTCAGGTAGGCTGAATTTTCATTTTCATTAGGTTCAAAAATGGTTTGAATTATCTTTGATCCCAGAAATGTGACAATTTATGGCATGGAATTATGAAGGCTAACCCAGGGTGAAAATCTGGGTTGAGAACACAGGTTTGAGGAATGCTCACATGGAGAAGCTAAACTAGGAGGAGAAATGAGAATCTGAGGTGTGGTGGCTGCTCCGTTTACCCCATAATATGCTCACCCCCACTTTCTCCACCAACTGACACTCCTACTCTGAGCCAGACCACACACAAACTTTCCCCACTTCCTGGGCAGTGAGTGGCAACTAAGCTTCAGCCAGGAGGAAGCAGGGCATCTGTCTTCAGGAAGTGCATGCAAATCTTCATGCAGATATGATGACAGATACAGCTGGCAGGAGCCACCCGGCAGAAACCGCTCACTGGGCAGGCACAGCCTCTTCCAGCAGAGGCCCAGGGAGCACTGCCATCACAGCACGGTGCTCTATTCACCAGGGCAGAAGTGCTCCTGTCCTCTTTTCCATCTTGCAGTCATGCTATTTGGGGACCTCTGTCACTAGCAGCAGAAGCTCATCTTAGCCCTTATGAAGGGGCAGAAACTATAAAGCCAGAGGAGGGAGGCTGGAAACTTGAGAAATGCTTGGCTCAGACAAGGCACCAGGGGCTCCTGTGAAACTCTGAAGCAACAATGCCAGTGTGCACACAAACAATGCTTGTGTGGCATGCACATGCATGTGTGAAGATGAGTGTGTGCACAAAACTGTTCTATGTGCTTTCCTAGGTGCTTCACACAAGCCAACCCCAAACTCCCTTCAAAGGCAATACTGCCCCACTCTTTAAGGGGAAGAAGCCAAAGCTCAGGGGGTTGGATAACAATCCAGTCTGCCTATGTGGCAGGTGACATGTCACGAGCACACAGGTCTATGGTGGTGTTGCCACTCACTGGCCCACAGTGGGGTGACAACACCTTGCGGGACTGAATTCATCTGCCACTAGATAGCTAGAAGGAGAAGAGTGCCAGTTCTTTCATGGCATCATCAAGTTTAAAAGACCATCTGGAAATACCAGAAAACTATCCCAAACAGTCATGATTCAAGTAAGTTCAAATTGTTTAAAAGTACTGTTAATAGGAACCACAAAAAAAGGATAGAGAAGGCTTCCAAAGAAAGTTCTTAGCTAAAAAATTCACTTGAATGACAAATACAATGGGATAAATACTTTCTAGAACTTTTAATTAGCCACAGAAAACTGCCAACACAGCAACATCATCACGTAGCAAAAACACACACACCTCAGCAGTCAGGAGTCTGTCTGGGCACTGGTTAACTGCAGCGAAGACCCTCCGAAGTCCAGCCTCCAGCTGGGACAGCAACAAGATGGTGCAGTCAGCAAACCTGTGAAATTGCAGGAAAGATCAGCAAAACTCCACATTCAAAGATAAACATCAGCACGAATATCACAATAAATATGCTACAGTCCAGGTTCAACCAATGTGGTATTATCCCCTGCTAATATGAGAAAAAAATAAAATCAGAATCAAAGTTTCATTAGACTAGTGATTCGAAAAACATTTCCTGGTATTTTATTGTTTTATGACCCACATTTAGTAGCTTCAGAAGAATAAAAGATCACTAGAGCTCTCTTACYTGTTTCATCACTTCTGAAATCACTCAAACACAAAGACATGGGTGGGCTGTGAAGGCTTAAAAATGAATGCACCATGGTGCAGCCCTCGGGGAAGAGAGGGACAAAGATGAGCCCACTTGTGCCGTCCCTGCCCCCCGCCCATGCATGTTGAGCACATGCTCTGCTCTCATGCAGAGTCTGTTCCATGACTCTCCGATGTTGGACTCAAAGTTTCTCTTACAGGAAGAACTCAAAAATTAGTAGAGTTGATTCTAAAATAACATCAACTATACCAAAAGGATGATGCCTAATGTTTAAAACACAACTACGAGCTGTCTTCCGAGTGACTCTGAGGGTGTTTTATGTTTGGTCTACTCTCAATTCAGCCCCACCTCTCTCGACTTCGACCCAACAGCAGAAGAGCCAGAGGGTGCAGTGCCTGGAGGAGGCCTGGCCTCCAACCATCAAAGCACACTGCCAGGCTCCCTTCAGTTACCTGTGTGATGTGAACTTGSTCAGTGCAAATTTCCAATATGGTAGCATGATTTTTAATATAAAGGTGGACTTCATCATCACTCGTTCTAGTACCCAAAGTACCTCAGAAGTCACATCTGTAAAACAGCAAAGACCTTTAAATGCAGCCACACTGAGCAACTGAAAAAGATGGGAACACACTGGGGGAGAGATGCCAATAAATCAGCCCCTCAAGCAGATGACTGAGACCACAGCCAGAGTGCAGAGGCCTCAGGGGGCCTGCACAAAGGGCACGGGGACCACTGCTTGTCTCCAGTGACCAGAAACAGCAGCTGCAGAAGGGCTCGGGGTTGACAGGAGAGACAAAGGCCATACTACAACCATCAGAGCACAAATGCACTCGGGGTGTAAAGGAGAAAAACACAMCACCTAACAAACCCTAAGCAGTTTGTGCATCAGCATGCCTGAGGAGCAGTCTGATTCTTAGCCCCACAGCAGCTCTGGAGAGGAGGAAAGAGGTTCTTCAGGGCTGGGGTTGAAGCTCAGTGGTGGAGTGCTTGCCTAGCACATGTGAAGCATGTTGGGTTCCATCCTCAATGCCATATATAAATAAATAAATTAAATAAAGGCATGCTGTCCATCTAACACTAAACAAAATATTAAAAAAAAAAAAAAAAGAGCCATCTTGCTACTGGAGAATGTCTTTATTCCACCTCAAAAATTCAGGTCTGATGCTACTGATAGTTACACACACCTCCTCCACAAAGTCACACCAAGGCGGGGAATATGAAATGTAGTACTTGCCAGGAAAAACAATCAAATCTTCTAAGTTTTTTAGAGTTACAAAAGATCGATGTACCAGTGTGGCCTCTGTGTGTTGAAGGTAACTCTTGAGTAACTGACCCAATCCTGCTGTCAACAGCAGCATCATTGAACAGTATCTGGGAGAAAATGCCACAGACATGTTGGAAGAATGAATCAGTCATATATACAGAAAGCTTTACTTTAAAAAAAAAAAGTTCAAAATTAAGAAAGCAAATCTGAAGTGCAGAAAATTCTTTCTAGATGTAGGGATTGAGTTGTGCAAAGGCTAGAAGAGCAATATCTCAGGAACTGTGAGTCTTCTCCCCACCTGTGGTGTTTAATGTGCACCACCACATCCTGGAGACCTGGATGGCCTCTGGGGTTCCAAGCCTTGAAAGCCCTTTCACTTTTGGGGACTCTGACATTAACTTGCAACAGGCTCTCAAAATCCTGTCTGAAACTCTGACCTTTCACAAAATGCATCTTTCCCTCTCACAAAATTCAAGATAAAACAAACTCTTAAGTAGATCAAAAAGAAAAAAAATCACTTCACCAGACACTTACTTTGGGGGAATTTCTTGTGGCGATGCAAATCCATGCCATAAGACATTCCGCAGGTTGAGTCCACAGGGAGAGCCAATGAACACTTTGAGCACATTCATCTAGTCCATGAAAAGACAGCAGACCACGGAACGATGAAGCCATTACCAAATTTTGGAATAAACCAATACAATACTGAAATGATGTTTGCTTTTTTGCTTAACACATCCAACAGTTTTGACCTTGGTTAAGTAGTAATAATAATGAACCCAATAGTTATAGAGTGTTTAACATGAGCCAGGCCCAGTCTGCACGACCCAGGAGCTCCTCCATTCTCAGGACCACCCTGGAGGAAGGCACTAGACTCTTCCCACTGTGCAGAGCCAGGCACTCTACATTAGTCACGGAGATGGAAGATGATACAGGATATACTGCTCTGACATGATGGATCAAAGGTGCCCAAAAACCAAGTAGAATAGAAACTGATGAACAGAAACGTGGCACTAGGTAGCAAGTGCACATGTGGCAAGAGGGAGAAGATGGCAGGCACAGCCAGGCCAATAGCTAGGTCCTGTGTGCTGCCTCCTGGCCCCAGTTCATGGCTCACCTGCTTTTAGCTCTCTCTGTGGGTGAAGAGGACACCCTTTACAGGACCCTGCCCTGCCGTGCAGCACCACACTTTGGATCCAGCACAATGGAAACCACTGAGAGACTAAAGACTCATGAAACCAAGCCCTTACCAGGAGAAAGAACGGTCATACCTCAAGAGGTGAAACTGGTCTGCATTTGCAGGGGAAACTGCTCCTGAGAAGAGGAAAGCAGTGTGTTCTGAACTTCCCACAGAGAGCAGAACCAGCAGGTTGAGCCTAACATAAGAGCACTTAGCAGCCAGGACTCCAGGGCAGCCTCAGAGGTCTCGGCTGTCCGCTGGAAACTCCTGGCATACAGCATGAGGGCAATCAAAAATGACAATCATCAGAAGCAAGTACCTGCAGGTAGGCAAGAGACTAACAGCATAAAGGCAGTCAGCAAAGAACAGACCAAAGAAACAAAATCTGTTCATGAATTCAGCCTAAAAAAGGTTTACACTGTATCCTCGTCCCATGTGCTCCACAAGAAAGAAAAACCTCCAAGCTGACCAGGGGAAAGATCCAGGATACAGTGGGAGAGCTTTACTGGAAACAATGTCTCATCCCTAAAAAGGCACCCAGAGCTTCTCRCCAGCTCTGTTGGCCCATACAGCTTCCTACATGGGTGCCCTGCTTTCCCTTTAGCTGGACCTGCCCACTCAGAAGCCTAAAGGTAACCTATGAGTCTAAAGTCTCATGGTCATATGCCCTCTAGAAGATTCTTAAAAAGTCCATGCTCTGAATGATTTCGTATCAACAGTTTCATTTTTTTTTCATTGTAAGTCTGAATGGTTGCAGAGAACATAAATTCCCACATGTTAAAACATTGATATTCAAGAGTAAAACTTCAGTAACACTATTTAAGGGTGCAGAACCCTTCAAAATAGAAAAATATAAAAAAATATATTCTGCATTGTGTTTAAAATAATAAATATGTGACAAATCAAAGCAATATGTCTCAAGTTGTCCCTTTGTCTGGGCCCCAGAGGTTATTCTACCACCATCAGAATCAGTATGGGCAGCCTTTGGTGGGGGTGGAAGAGAAGCCCTTCTGAAAGGGAAAATGTGCTCTGGAAGAACAAAAGTGCTTTGCACCATGCTTACTGTAGGTTTTAAGTGAATGAGCTTACCACAGACTGCCCGAAGACCTGAACAAGCTCCTCTGAGGCAAGCAGATCTCTTAAGAGAAAAGGGCACTCCTTCCCAATCAGTAAGAACACCTAGAAACAAAGTTGTGCAGCCACACTGTGAGACAATGGATGCAAGAAAGAGAATTCTCTACAAAGCAGCTGTATGCACAAATCAAAGGTGTAGAACACTTTTGACAAAAATGTCATGATTTCATAATCACTCAAAAAAGAAAAACAATGACAATCTAGTTAACAAATTATTGTATTTAATAGGAAAATAATAACTCAAATCAAGAAATCTTACAGGTGACTTAAGAATAGTTTCACATTCATACACATAATTTAATGGACCCAGTAACAAAACAGTTTTCTCACTTACATCACCTAAGGCTCGCTCTAGACATGAGGTCAACTTCATTAAACTAAGAGAGATGGCAGGAGACTGTAGGCTTCCCACGGCATCAAACATTTCAGGAAACAACTATTTAGAATAATATACATATTAGAACTCATTCAATAAGAATCATTTCTAAAAACAATACTACTTATTGACATTTCAATCTGTGAAGATTTCAACTATATTAAAATGTTTTTGGTATAAGTAAATATTTTTATTTAACTATTACAGTGCCTAAAAGTCAAGAAAAACACTTTAATGTTCAGGGAGTTCTTTCAAAGTTTTTTTTTTTTATTAGATGCTTATCAAAAACTATAAATCTGGCATAACTGTGAACTAAAAAGTCAAACATCTTGACCTATATTTCATTCCCACTATGATTAGGTTTAGTTCCTAATAAACAGATAAACATAAGGCAGCTCAATCTACACTTAAAAGAACTGCTACAAATACAGAAGCAATAATCCTCCTATTTCAAATTAGGAAATTCAATTTGTTTCAGAATTAGACTTGTTAAAAATACTGCTTTATGGTGGTCATTTAATGTCAACTGAAAAACAAAGAAAACCTAACAAAAAAGCAAAAACAAGATTTAGGTTGGACCCCAAACCACCTATCCTTCCTTCAACTCACCATTCACAAACCAAGCACCTCATCTCTGGTCTCCTAGCAACACCACACCACCTCTCTGTAAGGACTGTGTTCTGAAGTGGTCCACTTTTCTTCTGTCTCAGGATAGGCAGCCCTGTACTAAGCACTACTCCCTGCCAACTCCTGGTTCTATGAAGTCCAAAACCTGCCTTTGCTCAAAGGGGTGTGTGGTTCAGCTCTGGTTCTTACATGGTAATTCATGGTAATTCAGGTTTCTCTTGCAACCCCCAAGCCTTCTGTATAGCTAAAGGGTCCAATGGAGGAGATCGCTTCAAAATTGGCAAGTAATAAGGGTCTCCAAGTGATATTTATAGTCTTTTATTTCTAATGGTGTATAAAGGCCAAACCTCTGGAAAACTTGTCCACTGGAACCATGGTATATATTGAATTTCAAACTGCCCCTTGGTCAAAGATAAAAAGTGGAGATGGACGGCCTCACACACAGGGCCCAGCAGCCTCACGCTTGCCTGATAATCCAGACTCTGGTCTGAAAGGACAAGAATCAAGCTTTAGTACCACAGCTCACACCAATCAATGGGAAATGTCTGAACCATGAAAAGAAATGCTTTAATCATGAAATTTATACACAATCAATAACTGAACATACATAATTAGCGAAAACAAATTACATGATGCTTATCTGATTATAAAAGAAAAATATATCACTAGTGAAAAATTTGCAAAATACAGAAATATTCAAATAGGAGACAGATATTTTATTCAGTGTCATTTCCTGTATGTTAGTTTACATTAAATCACACTGTACATAATAGTCCTTACAGTTCCAGTTATCTTGGGTCAACTGCAGTACAAAAATGCTAAATGGAAAATTCCAGAAATAACCACTCATCTGTTTCAAACTGCATACTAGTTTGAGCAACGTAAGGAAATTCTGCACTATCCCACCCAATCTCACCCCTTTGTCCGGCACATCCATTCTGCAGACACTGCCCACTCACGGGTCACTCAGTAGCCATGTGGTTATCAGCTCTACTGGTGCTATCACTGCGCTGTGTTTCAAGGAACCCTTATCAGACATAGTGATGGCCCCAAAGCACAAAAGCAATGATGCAAAGGAGGCTTCAGGGAAAGAAACGTGGAAGGACAACGAACTGGCACCCTGTGGCAGTACTGCAGACCATGCAGGAGAAGACAATGTATGCATAGGTTCAGCACTATGCATGGTTTTGGCATCTTCTGGGGTCTTGGAACACATGCCCCAAGGATGAGGGGGGATTACATTATAATAATGTAATCTGACTTTTTAAAAATTTTTTAAATTTGTAGATGGACACAATACCTTTGTTTGTTTATTTTTTTATGTGGTGCTGAGGATTGAACCCAGTGCCACACACATTAGGCAAGTGTTCTACCATTGAGCCACAACCCTAGCCCCTGTAATCTGACTTTTTAAAATTAACATTAGACTGAGATTTCTAATGCCAATCAGTTGTTTCAAAACATATTTGTAATATAAATTTTTGTTTTTACTGTTTAATAAGTTTGCGGTTGAACATTTTGTGAAAAACACAAAAGGGTGAAAGCCTCCCATGTGAGGCCCAATTCTCCTCCCTGTTGTATCTACTGCTATTATTTTTCTGAGTATATCTATAAATCTATGCTTCTTTATTTTTCTCACTTAGCTCAGAAAGAATTCTGCATCAGATGAGCCTCCATTTTTATCAGGTCATAATACTCCACTATAAGCATTTATCATAACTTACTGAAATAGTCCTCTACTGCTTTATCTCTGGCTGCTTCAGATTACTGATTTGTTTATTTAGTAGGACACACAGTGCTCCATATCCATGAGTGCAATTTTCTTATAAATCCCTGGAAATTGACTGGGCAGGCCAGAATACATTCATTCGCAATTTTTACAGATGTTACTAAGATTCCCAGCTCATATCCTTCTCCCCTCAAAACATACAGATATAAGATTTAAAGGAGGACATTTAAAATTGCTGAGTCTACCACTGGCCATTCCATACTCTTCATAGCAATGAATCACTCAAAAGGTTCTCCTCTTGGGGTCTCAGACCTACCAACAGCCTGTCACCCAGCCTAACTCCTGAAAGTCCTGCCCACCCCAGGTATCCAGCCCAGGCACACTTGACCTCACACTTCTCTGTCCTCACCCTGCCCTTTTCAGGCTGTCTCCTTTTCAAATTTGGCTGAGGACTGTGTTTTCACATAGTTTAAAGAAAAGATGCTGTGGCTAAAAAGGGAGACTTTATAACCAACAGAGCAACTGAGGTGTGGGGTACAAAGGCAAGCCAACCTGATCCTGCACAGCTCACACAGTCTGTGATTGTTTTCCAGCAAACTTCACCATTTTCGGTTACAATGTTATCGAAATCACAATTTCCTCTTACTTCAAACCCAAGTTTACAAATCATGTCATACACTGAAGGAGAAAGACATGTGGTAATGGGATCTCCTACTAACATCTGAAAAATAAAACATAAAGAGAGTGTTTAGCAGGAGAGAGTAATATTAATTACTATATATCTGAGTCACAAGAAAATTTTACCTTAAGCATGGAATGTACTAAAGTCAGCTGCTCTTAACATGCTTTCTGAATAACAAATTTATTTTAACGCTTTAAAATAAATGTCTAAAGATTTTAAAATCATCTTCTTGACCATATAACTCACAGAAGTTCAATGAATTTTATGAACAGTATATTATTCCTTTCACCATTTCTCATCAACCCAGCATGCCCAGGACTTAGCACTGCCCCTGGTCATAAAAATGAATAACCCATTACTTTAGCAGCACATACTTTCCTGTTCCACTATCAAAGATGAACCACAGAAATTGTGGTATAAAGGTGTATTAAGAATTGTAATGCAAAAAAAAAAAAAAAAAAAACCCAAAACAGAGCATGGGCTTTGAATTGAAAAAAAAAAAAAAAAAAAAGGAATTACAGATCTGGGTCTCCTACTAGAAGCCAGAGTTCTGCAACGCCCTCCAGCAACTCACGCAGGGACTCCAGACCTCAGCCAGAATGCCAGCCTCTCCCCACAGGCTCCAAGACCCTTCCAAGGCTTTCCCAGGAGAGCCCTGTGGCCCCGCCTCCGACCTATCACTCAGGGGGCCCTGCAGCCCCGCCCCTCCTTCCCTGAGAAGTCATGCGGCCCCGCCCCCACTCACTGAGGAGTAGCCTGTGGCCCCGCCCCTTCCTCCCTCTGAGGAGCCTTGTGGCCCCACCCCTCTCTCCCTCTCTCCCTCTCTCCCTCTCTCTCTCTCTCTCTCTCTGAGCAGCAGCCCAGAGGCCTCGCACTCCCTCCCAGAGTGCTGTGGCCCCTCCTCGACCCTCCCTCGGAGGAAAGGCCGGTGGCTCCGCCTCTTTCTCGCCCCAGAAGAGCCCCGCGGCCCCGCCCCTCGCTCCCAGCGGGTAGTCCTGCGGCCCGCCCCTCTCCACAGAGACGGAGGCGTGGTCCGTCTGCGGGGATGGAAAAGCCCTCGCCCCCGCCCCTGGGGGACGCACAGGCCCCCTTTCCCAGTCGCTCTTTGCGGGGAGGCACGGGTGCCGTGTGGGCGGGTGTCTGTCTCCTCTGTGGGAAAGCAAAACCCTCTTCAGTCTCCCTCTCTCTTCCTCTCTGCCGGGATGCACAACCCTTGCCGCCCGCCTGGGCCTCGTCCTCGCCATGGCAGCACGCCAGAGGCGACCATGAGGACTGGCCAGCGGCTCGCGCAGTGCGCACAGCGTCCAGCCGTAGACGGGCCACCAGCCGACCCGCACACCCGCGCCAGGCACCAGCACCCACCCGTGCCCCCGCCGCTTCCACCTAAAGCGTCCGGCCTCAGCAACTGCTGGACGCAGGCCCGCCTACCTCCATGACTTCCGGCTCCGGGCCTAGGCCTACGCGAATGACGTACGCCTCTCCCGCCCCGGCCGGGTCCCTGGCGCTCCCGTGACGCCACTTCCGGCCTTGCGGGGCTCCGGCACGAGACTTCCGCTCTCGCGAGAGGGAGAAGCGTTGGGAGGCGGTCAGGGTGGTGGGTGCTGCGCAGGCCCCGCCTTCCTGCGGAGCGGAGCGGAATGGAGAGGCGAGGTCGAGGCGCGAAGCCATCCACCAGCCCGGTCCCTCCTGCGCAGCCGTCGCCGGGCCCCCGGAGGGATCGGAGGCCGAGCATGTTCGAGAAGGAGGCAGTGAGTGCCGCCCGCCCCGCGGGTCCTCCTGGTGCCGCGAGCGCCCTGGCCCGCCCTCCCGACCTGCCCGGGCAGTTCCCACCTCTGAGTTAGCCGCTTTGCACAGAAGCTCGGCGTCGCCGGCCCAGATGAGCATATGTGTACCGTAGGTACATGGGGAAAAGCTGGTAGGAGAGAGTGCTTAAGAATTAGCAGCCTCAGAATGGAGGATTTATGCAGGGAATGAAGTTGAATGTTTTCTGCTAGCTTGATATTAATGGGAGCGTTCGTCAACTTTCATTAGTGGTAAAATACAGTATTTCCATATGAACAGATTTTGAAAATCATTAATATAGTTAGTTTATTGAGACTTGGAGGGGAAAAAAATGCTCAAGGATACAAGACGTTAATGATAGAACTACGACCAGAACCTGTGTCCTGGAACTCCTGTAGTGGTTTCTCATCACACCTACATCATAGAACCCATCATCAGTAGGATTCATATGTAAATACAAGGCAGAACACAAAAGTTCAAGATCATTCCCAAGTTAAAAAAAAAAAAAAAGTGAGAACTCACACACACAAACTCCCCCCCAAAATGCTAAGCCAGCATTGCAATTTCTAATGCCTGCTTGGTGGCTACCTTTTGCAAAGGAAGGAACAARTTAATAGAAGAAAAGTAAGTAGGCCACATTCACACAGAAAGAAGACAAAGCAGAACAAAGCTGGGAATCTAATTGTGTTGCACTTAAAACTAGATGTTCCCAAACTCTGCATATTGAAAACTTTCTATACTGCAGACAAGAGTGACTGCTGTAAACTTATTGCCTACTAAAATTGAAATTTGAATGAGTCTCCATTCAAGAGGAGAAGACATGGAGCTATACTTGTATATAGGCTAACCTCAGAATGAGGGGGACATGCACCAAAGCAGCTTATGTTGTAGTGGCACCCCCTCCTCCACCAGTGCATCTTAATTAAGCTTCTCTAGAGACCCTCATCACAATTGTTCTTATTAACAAAATATCAGCAAAGATCTCTGCAAAAGGGCTCCTATTTCCTCTTGCCCTGCTCAGTCTTGCAAAAAACTAAATTTAACTGTGGACTTGATGGCTGTTACTCTGCTTTTGTGGTATAACCTGTAAAATCTCTGACTGTTCCAAGAACTGGGATGAAAAGCACTTTCTGAGAACTCAAAGAAAAAATATATATACTTTTATGTAGACTTCTGCAAAATGTAAACCTCCCAGCCCCCCCCCCCCCGAAAAAAAAGAAACTGGATATAAAGTCCAAAGAATTGCTAGACTTGAGATCTAGAGGAGAATTTCATGCATGAGCCACACTCAGGATCGGCTAGCTGCAGTCAATAAACCTGCTTTCTGAAAATTCCTTGGGTGTTCAGCCTCTTCTGTCCTATATCAATGTGATATGAATATGATGAAACATAATCTTTAAAATCTAGTCTTCTAGAGGTAAGGGATTTGCATAGGCCAGTAACAAATCATTCCACAAATGTTCACTAAGTATACATAAGGACACTGACTTGTAGTCATTTTTAACTTTCAAGTAGTAGATGATTTCCATATTTCTGGGTATAACTTAGGGATCAGTTTAACCAGTATGAATAGCTCTTCAGCTGTCCTGCATTCATGTCTTTTCTCTAGCGGTAGCACCTCAGTTTTTCTTCAGAGAACTAACTCATCCCCCATTGGAGAAAGTTTCAGTGGAATTGGCAGCCACTTTCTTTACCTTGGAGTGAGGATGAAGCCCAGATTAGGCCAGTTAGATGTATTCTTTGGAATGATACAGAAAAAATGATTGAGGTTGATCCAGATTGCAAATGCAAGCTGAAGAGCACCCATGTGTCTTTCCGAGTCTAGTGCTAATCTTCTAGTCTACCAACTACTCCTATATATTACATTTTTGCTTTACAAGAATCAATTTCTCCTGCTTGTAAAGATCTAAAAATTTAGATTGAAAAATTGATAGGTCTTGTATATATGCATTTGAAAACCTTAAACATTAGCAAATAGCATTGAGATGAACATTAATGACATTTAATGAGCAAGCTCATTTTATTCTGGGACTGTTAAGTAAGTTTGATGTAAGGAGATGCTGCATCAGTAAGTGAAGTAGTTAAACTCGTCTTGGATTAGTAGATACCAAAAGGTGGATCATATTTCTAATTCAGTCTTTTTTTTTTTTTTTTTTTTTTTTTGTACCAGGGATTGAACTTGGGTACTCAACCACTGAGTGCCCTATTTTGTACTTTGTTTAGAGACAGGGTCCCACTGAGTTGCTGAGCACCTCACTGTTGCTGAGGCTGGCTTTGAACTCATTATCCTCCTGCCTCAGCTTCTTGAGCCACTAGGACTACAGGCATGCACTATTGTGCCTGGCTACATAATTGAGTCTTAAAAAATGAGTACAAAGACTGTTTCTTAAAAGAGTAAAATACTTTTAATAAAAGCTTACTAAACCAGGTGGCCAATCCTATGCAGAAAGAAGAAATGACAGAGATGTAATTTTCAGAATAGTCTCAAAGGGTTAGTTTGAGAAAGTGCTTGTGCACCAAACCCATGAGAATCATTGCAATTGGGAGCTACTGATAATAATGCAATGGAGTTATATCCCTTCAGTATATTGTAGTGAAAAGGAAGGTGGCACTTTACTAAAGAAGCACTCTCAATAAACTTGACAAAATGACCCTTTTTAATAGATTTGGGGAGCAAACAATGCCTCTTATACAATTAAAAGAGGCATAGAAGAGGTGATCAAAATAACATTTGATGAACTTCTACTTGAAGCCAACTTAAAGTAACTCCTACCAGAAACTACTTGAAATGGTGCAGGAAATATATGGAGCATTTGGTTAGATGTCAGGTACTACAGGACAGAAATCTTGGAGAGAGGTAATGTGAGCCCCAATATTGCCTCCACCTTACTGCCTGATGAATTTCCAGGCTACCTTAAATAGCATCAGACCTCAGAGGATCAGAAAGAAAAGGTGCATGAACAGCTTGAGAGCTGCTGAGGGTTTCCTTGAGTCTTCAGCTTAGTCTTTCAATTCACTTGGTAAGAAAACCACCTGAGATCAGAAAAAGCATCACTCAAAAGGAACAGAAGTGAATACATTGACCCCCACAAAATAGTTATGCTCCCACCGATAAGAGCTCGGAAGGTCCTAGGACTTTTCATGTCTTGGCATGTGGTCAGTGTAGTGTGAAGTATATCACCTCATTAGAGRGGAAAACAGCGAGCAAATATCCAGATTTCCCTGGTCTGCCCTGGTGGAAAGCAAGACTGAAGAGGACCAAATCCTTCCCAAATCCCTACATCTTAGGAGAAAGGTAAACAACGTTTGTGGTAATACAAAGATAGCAAGGTGAAATATAGAGTCTGGTGTTCAAATAAATGTTGGTAGACTTACAAAGAAACAAGAAAAAAAAATCCCAAAATGAGAAGAAACAAAAAAATGGGCCCAGGAATCACACAAAGATAGGATACAAGGATACTAAAGTTGTTTTAATAACAAGTTCCTGTATTCGTTTTAATCAAATTGAATTATTATATCAAAGCAGTTATGACAATTACATTCCATGTAACCAAGAATGTAGACAAAGATCAAGTGTGTCAAATCCGAAAGAGACTTCTATAGTTGACAATGCAAAAATACAGTGTCAGAGATGATATGCACTTAATGAAATTAAAAGAAAGAATTAGTGAATTTAGAAAGAAAATATTAGGAGATGGCAGTGAGCTATACTCTAAATTCAAGTGGCCTCATATTCTTGTAATTTAAGTTTTCAAATGAAGAGAAGGGACAGATAAAAATATATTTGAAAAAAATGAGATATCTCCAAATATGAAAACAGTAAGCCCATACATTTAAGAGTCTCAATTCCAAGTACAAGAAACATGAAAATCATGTCAAGATACACATGAACTAATGATTTAAAAATGTAAAGGCAATTAGGAAAAACACGTGTACAGAACATCAAAATAACAGCAGACTTATTAGAAACAATGCAGTTGAACATTATCTTCGCTCAAAGAAAATACGTAAACCTAGAATTCTATACCCAGCTAAAATGTTTTAAAAACAAAGAATTCTCATTTGCAGTTCTTGATATAAGGAACTCAAAGGCATTTCTCCATTCTAACAAGTAGTAAAAAGCTGAACAAACCGAAAAAATATTCTTAGATATGTTAGAGAAGTGAGGTTGTAGGACACCTTTGCTGCATCTTGAATTAGCATGATGGACAAGTGATAGAATCACAGCACACCAGAACAGAGCCTGCAGAAACCAAGTTCAGGGTGTGGAAACTTGAGATGTAATTGGTGAATTGCTAGGAGTTAGGTGTTTTTCATTTTCAGAGTTAAAAATTCTAGAGGGACTTGGACATAATGTGGCCCTCTTGCTTTTGGGGGGATTTATCTCCATAAGTTGAACCATAAATATCGCAGAGTACTCCCTCATGCTTCTGGCAGAGGAACAAGCAAAGCATGGATAGGTAACATTTTTAAATCCACCAGAATATTCTGTTCTTAACAAGAGCTGCCCTCAGGAGGAACTAGTTAATTTTCAGAGTAACTCACTGAGTAAAAGGAATTCTAGCCCTTACTTGCCATTCTGTTTCATTTAAGGGAACGTGGGGGGCACGGTGAAATTCATAGTCCAGATGCAAAGGCTCACTA